CATTCACTATTGCACTGAACATGTATGCGCCAATCCATACGTTGTTCAGTCAGTCATTCATTGATACAGTTGTTGAAGTGCAAACAGACTCGCTGTACCTCTCTGTACCCTGTGTGTAGTCAGCACTGTGTGACACATCATAACGACACTGGCATTTCATTGGAACACCAGTGTTAACCATCAATAGATGAATGTGAGAAAGAATATATGACAACAAACTGAACATTTGATCATCCGATTTGTCCTACTCATCAGTAGTATGGTTTGACATGTGGAAGAAAGTGACCATCCATCTGACCGACCGAGAGACCGACTGACTACCTGCTTGGCTAATTGACTGACTGAATGACCTACCAGTCCACATGTCAGCTGACATTCACTAACCCCGTTATAACAACAATCACACTTGTCGACATCACAACATCTCACGCATTACCACTCTATTATCACCACAACAAACGCAACACAATCTCGTGTGTCGTGTCTTCCATACAACTTGTCAACATGTATTCATTCATGCATGCACATAATGTGCAGTGTATTTTGTGTGTTCCTGTGAGAATATTTGAGAAAATCCATCCATGCACATTTTTACTGTTCGATGTGACTGGGTACTTCGACTGTTGTCTCATTTCTGTTTTGTTGGACATCTGGATTTCGGGTGGCTACAATGTTGGTCGACCATATGTGTGATTGGTTAGTCCCGTTTGATTTAATTGACTGAATGAGTAGATGCTTGAATGGATAGACACTTGATTTGCTAATTGTTAAGAAAGTTTACTGTTTTGAAGAGTGAACAGCTGAGTTTGGAGCTATTTAACTGGTGATATATTTGCCTGTTCGCATTAGAACATTATTCCTGAGTTGTGAGGAACCTGTTTACCCATTTCCAAGTAAGTACTGTATATTCCTAATGTGTAATCGCTTACTGTTCCTAGTTGATCATACAAGTCTGTTGTTGTATCAGTGACTGTGACTGTTAGAGAAAGCATTGTTCAGGTTTATTCGTGTGTGTCACCGAAGGTCAGTCAGTCAGCCAGCCAGCCAGCCAGCCACTAGCCATCCATCCATCCATCCAGCCTGCCAGCCAGCCAGCCAGCCATCCAGCCAGCCATCCAGCCAGCCAGCCATCCATCCATCCAGCCAGCCAGCCAGCCATCCATCCAGCCAGCCAGCCAGCCAACTAGTCAAACAACCAACCATCTAACCAAACGTCCGTCCATCCTTCCTTCCATCCATCCATCCATCCATCCATCCATCCATCCATCCGACCGAACGACCGAACGACACAACAACACACCATACAACAAACGAATCAGCAAAACAAATAAACAAGCAAACAAACAACTAACTTGATATGCAGAGATTCAAAGAACTAGACAGTCGTCACTCGACCTTCACGACACTGATCAGTGTATACACAATGCACAGAGCGAAAGAAGTGGCAGTGCTTGACCATCTTGTCATCATTATCGACTCAATTGGTCAACTGACAACACAGACACCGGGATGTGTGTGTACTTGTGCAATTCCCACACGCACACACGCTCACACGCTCACACGCTCACACGGGAATGTTGGGACAAGTTTGGAGAGGTGCGAGATGATATGGGAAACCAATGGAGCAGCAGTGTGTGAATAATGTTGAGGAGCGTCATTTCACCGTCTTCCCCACATTGTCCACCTCACTCTCAGATTACTTTCACACCATTTCACATGATGCTGTGATTGATGAATGGTGTGACTGGAGTAGAATCGCCTGTTCATGTTGAAAGTGGTGGAGGAATGAAAGAGGGAGTGGAATGGACACGAACTGTTAACGGGAATCATCTACGCTTCGTATATGGATGTGTGAGGGTGTTGACGTGTGCATCAGTGAGCGATGATGTTGATGAAAATGACGGGATAGCGAAGGTGGTCCTTTCGGCACACCGATTAGGTAGACCACCTAACGAATTAGGTATAGGACAATTTCAATTGTTCTGTACGAAGTAACCACCTCCATTGCCCGACGAACAACTACTATGAATTCTCAATCATCAACTTCTCACCATACAAGTGTGAACCAATCAACACACAATATGCATATCATTGGTCATTCACTATTGCACTGAACATGTATGCGCCAATCCATACGTTGTTCAGTCAGTCATTCATTGATACAGATGTTGAAGTGCAAACAGACTCGCTGTACCTCTCTGTACCCTGTGTGTAGTCAGCACTGTGTGACACATCATAACGACACTGGCATTTCATTGGAACACCAGTGTTAACCATCAATAGATGAATGTGAGAAAGAATATATGACAACAAACTGAACATTTGATCATCCGATTTGTCCTACTCATCAGTAGTATGGTGTGACACGTGAATGAAAAAATGACCACCAAACTGACCGACTGCCTGATCTAACAGTTCACACGCCAGCTGACATTGAGTAACCTGGTTATAACAACAATTACACTTCTCAACATCACAACAACTCACCCATTCCCACTCTCTTATCACCAGAACAACAGAATATCAATATCGATTCAGTCCGTAGACTTCCAAATCCATTATTTACAGTCAATCGAACTGATATTTCAAAGATATTTGACAATGCTTATTGAGCTATCCCACTAACGAAACCAAGATGTGCGTGTCCTGTGTGCAGTCAATACCATCTCGATTTCGATGGAGTAAACGGGGTATCACTGCTCTCCAGTGTTTCACTCCATTGTGTAATCTTAGAGGTAGATTCACACCACTTTGTGTATTTCCACTACAATCGATCGACTGTGTGTCACGGAGTATGATAATTAGGCGACTGTGTTCTTCTTCATTCTTTCGTCTCACACATCATCTTCAACACAGATCCAATGCCAGTCGACTGTTTTGCACCTATCACCAACACTCAACTCTTCATCAATTAACCAGAATAAACCACACACACACACACACACACAGAGAGAGAGAGAGAGAGAATATGATCTTGCGTATTATGTCTCTCATGTGACTACAACTCACGCACTCATTTTTAGATTACCAATGTCGGTGGTGGGTCTATTCGAGCTGAAAAGGATTGGTGTAGCGTCCTAGCTTACATCGAAGACACACCTCACGATAAGTACATAACTTGGTTTACACTATCGTGATAACCAGGCAATGCGGCTCCCTCAGTGGCTGTTTAGAAAAAATGGAATCTTGACGAAAAGCATAGTTTATCGGAGAGAACAGACTAGAGAGGTACAGAGTAATGACGCTGCCACATGGACTAGTCTGTGATATCCAACTGATTCATCCGCATTAGTCATACTCGACCGTGATAATGTTCAGCGAATTGTTCAACGTTCAGTGATCTGCCGTAGAGCGGAAAACACGGTTCGGCTCGGTGGAGGATTTGGCTAGGACTGAGTGACATTTCACTGGTCCTACACATTAAAGCATATAATCGATTCGCGTCTCTCCACATTTCCATCCACAAAGCCAATGGACTGAACACTCTTCAGTAACTGTTTCTCAAGTGTTTCCGTGTTAACCGTAACATTCTGTCAATTGTCGGTTAAAGAAGTTTTTCAGATTCCATGTGCAACCACCATTAATTTGATCTGTTTTATTTCTGTGTTGACAATACCATAAACAACTCCCACTGGCCACCAATCACTGGGATAAAGAAATCATTAGATTACTAACTGACTAACTATCTAACTAACCATACAGAGGTTGAAATAAATAGAGAGTCTTCACTCGACCTTTATGTCACTGATGAGTGTGCACAGAAAGTGTTTTCTTTATTCGTCAAATTTTCTCGCTTTTAGACTAATGGTTTCTTCGTCATTTGCGTTGTTTTATGTTGTCCGATATTTCTGATAAAATAAATATTTATTTCATTTATACTTCTTTTGGCATAATTAATGTGACTGAGTTAATATATTTCTGTCCGTCTCAACTTGCTAACACTTCCCACTTCATCGTCCATTCTATAAACCTGTTGTTTCCGATGGAAAATAAATTATCAATAACTGGCGCAACACACCCTGAAGATGTCCAGACAAGTTAGCTGGACGAAACTTTGGAATTATTTAAATTTCAACCGCTGATATTTTTTCAAATATAATTTTCATAGATAATATTGTATATCTGTTAAGTAACTAGAGTATTGTGTGTTTTTTTTATCCCTAACTTATCCCAAATCTTTTGGTTACATTCACTTACACTCACAGTCACTCCTAGCTTGATCTTTTATAGTGGCAATTTTTATTTTACGGCGTGATGTGGTCTGGTTTGCTTGTATATATACTACGCATGTCTGAAATATATTATTTCTACAGTGGAGGCTGAGACTGTGTTCTTGACTTAACAGACAGGACAAGGCGAGAAGGACCAATAAGGATTCAGTAATGACACATGGCTACTAGTGCTGTTTGAAGTTTCACTGATCTAGTACAAGATCAAGGTCATATAAGTCGGTATTCTGACTGATGATTTTGTCACGGTGGCAAAAGTGATAACGAAACCACCTAACAAAACAAACGAATCTTCAAAAATCAATCAGTTAAAATTCGTGGCATAAACCAGTTCGGTTCTTCACTGTCTAACACTTATAGTATTCATGCATACATTTAATTATATTTAGTGTTTTGAAGTATCAGCAAACATTGAATGTTGTTATGAACAGATTGGAATTGAAATATTTAAGTTTTCATTTACTGGTAAATCATGTGCAAGCTTCTCTCAATGACCAATCAGACATACGTCTTACCAACCCAGTTTATTTTGACCTTAATCTAAACTAATCGCGTTAATGAATGTAAGACAAATATCATTAACCAATCATATTAGTGGTTGAGGTCGTGGACAGAATGGAATTTTTCAATGTCATTTTACATCCGAATTATGTATACATAACAACTACCGTGACGTGAGACACTTGTGCGTGATTTCAAAGACTAAGAAACAAGTATAGAGGCTTCTGTTCGTATTCTTGATCAGTGATCGTTAGACTTTATTGGTTGGAAATGGCTCAACGTGTACCTATTACAAACAGTTCACAAGAATGTGAATTGAGAACACCAGAAGTACCGACTCAACAATTCATCACCACCAAACTTAGCGTAGATGAAATACTGAATAAGTATGTTGGGGAATATGGAATTTGGCAATGGAGTATTGTGTTCCTAATAGTTTTAAGTTCTCCTCTAATGGTGACGTTACCTGTATTTGTTAATGCAGTGCCTGACCACCGTTGTCGGATGGAAGATCCTATGGAAGAAGTATTCAAAGACTACAATTTAAGTTTTGAGGAAGCCGCTGCATTTGTGGGTCCATGGGAAGGTGAAGTTCCTGTAACAACGATGGGTTGTCTAAGATTTGTATTGGACTGGAGCAATACAACACTCATCGAAAAACTACTTTTGAATAAGTCGGTATCTCCATTTATTGATCGTGAATCGCTGAAAACTGAAGAGTGCATCAATGGTTATGTATATAGAAGTAAAGAGTTCCAATATCCCAGTACTGTGGTTGCAGATTTTAACTTGGTCTGTGATAAGAGTATGCTTTCGCCTCTTGGAACCTCTCTTTTTATGGTTGGAATGTCATTTGGATTCATTTTCGGTGGTTATTTTGGTGACAAATTCGGCAGACGAAACGGTGCAATTGTATTCTCCATCATTGAATTACTTGCAGCGGTTGGTGTTTCCTTAGCCCCTAATCATCATATCTATCACCTGATGAGAACAATTGTTGGGTTTTCTAGTACAGGAAAAGCCGCAGTCTTACGACTATTACCAATTGAGCTAACTAATGCCAAATATCGATCGTATTTCACATCGTTCATTGTTTTGGGAATTGTATTTGTACATCGTGCTATAATGACCGGAATAGCATATTTGGTACGAGAATGGCGTCTTCTCAATGCCCTGTCAATGCTACCATGTCTCACATGTTTCATATACTTTTGTCTTTTACCTGAATCACCACGGTGGCTATTATCTCAGTATCGTGTTGAAGAAGCCATCACAATTCTGAGAAGAGGTTGTCGTATCAATCATATTTTGAAGAAAGACAAATCAAAATTACCACAATTCGACAATTTCCTGAAAGATATAAATAAAAACGAGTCTCATATGGGAAAGTCATACGTCCATCGTGAACCTATAAGTATTTCTGAACGATTTATTAATTTACTTAAATCAACCAAGAAAATTATTTGTTGTAGACAAATGAATAAAACACTCGCAATATGTGTTCTAATATTTACGATGCACTATCTTAACTTTCTGGGTATCACATTATTTAGTAAGTACATTAATTATAATGTTTATATAGTAACTCTTATCAATGCATTAACTGGCATTCCAGGACCAATTGCTGCAAGTGTAGTTTATAGATGTTATAAGTATAGACGATTTCCATTAATGTGCACATACATAATTTCTGCTATATTATTATGTATTGGTGGTGTTTATACAGTTTTATGGAAACCACTAACTGATAACGTATTGAATATATTCTGTAATGGTGCTCTTATTATGTATTCTGCTTCAACGATCATGCTAACAGTTTATTGTGCTGAATTATTTCCATCATATATGCGTTCAAGCGCTGTAGGCATATCAAATGGTCTAGGTAGAATCGGTGGGATCGTTTCAACATTTGTAAATTATACAGATTTTACTTTTAAACATGGTACGCCTGTATTGATTTATTCCGGTTCCGCAATACTTCAAGCTTTCCTATTATACTGTTTACGTGATACAAGTGGTGAAGATCTTCCTGATGTTGACAAAGGCTTAGAATCTGCAACTGATGATCATGTTCATCAAAACGAATCTAATACGAGTATTGATGTAGGAAGAGGAGAGCGCGTAATTAGTTTGAAAACATTAGAAGACGGAATAAAACCGTCACCAACAACTGTAACTAATCTCTAGTACTTTCACATTTTTAAATGATACATTTTTGATGTAAACTAACTGATGCCAATAAGAAATTTTAATTTGTGTGATTGCATTTCATTATCTTTTATTCGAATCATTTGTAAAACTGATTCCACTTTCATTTATCAATATGAATGTATTACTAAATAAATTAACTGTAACAAATAAATTAATCCATCTGTCTATTCATTCACAATTTCACCAAACAAATCCAGTTAAACGAATTGGAAAAGTGAATACAAGTAAATGAACAAGCACCTTTATTTTTTAGGGCAAGAAACTAATTTAATTTATCCGTGTCATTGTCATCGATGATTAATAATCACAAGCACTGTACACCCAACCTATAAGGTGAATGATTAGAACACTTGGATTCAATGATCACCGGCTGTTTATTTAGTTGGATGAAATGAAAAATATTATAAATTGATCTTGGATTTCAAATACTGATGTATTCGTCCACTTTAATGCTGTAGCTAACATTATAATTATGGTTAAATAGTTGTTGTGTATGATAAGCACATATATCAGTTATTCTATATATTTCAGCTTACTAATAATATAGAATTGTTGATAAAATATGGTCATTATAAACATTATATGATCTATAGTATTGAAATCTAACAAAAGGACAGTTTTAGAAGTCTCGCTTTACTCGTTATCCTGTTCTCTTGACAGTGCAATTACTTTTGTGGCATGTGCTACTGATGTCGACAAATGTAAGTAGTATGTATCATCAATCGAAAGTGAAATGCCTGATGTCAGAAGGTTAAGAAGATCGAAGGAAAGAGAACGAGAACACAGAATAATCGGTGTGAGAACCAAAGAACAATGAAGTCTGATAAACATTTTGTAAATGCAGTATTTACTGTATGGTTCTCAAATTTTACTAAGATATACTGAAATTCTGTATTCAAATACATTTGATTATCCCCACTTGTGTTCTCGTTGACTACAGTATTACCACATGACTTGAAAGAGATACACATATCATCAACATTTAATATTAGCCACATATTTCTGAGCAAACTAATCAAGAATTCACGATTCACTTACATGTACTGACTAGCAAATACTGAATTACTGATTCCTAAATATTTATTGTAAAAATGAAGAAATGCACTTATCCTCAAATGAACAAATAAATGCGACGAGTTTTAGCTTTTCCTCCTAAGCGATTCCTAACAAAAATTCATATCAGGTAAGAGCCAATCATGTGTGGTTTCAATGTCTTAAGTAGAAAGAACTTTTCATATCACTTGGAAACATTTCAAAACAATCAGAGTCACTTTGATTTTGTTGAATTTACATGATGATCAATTAGTAAATCAAGTTCCATTCCAAGTAAATTAGGTTATTTACACCAGTCTCAGATTATTCAATTATGATATTAACTTAAACAAAGTCTCTCGATAATAGACATTAGGAAAATCACAAATGCTTTGTTGAAAGTGTTAGTGTTTATGTTTTTAAATGAAACTAACTTCTTGTTGTTTATAGGACTCCTTCTCTTTATAACACTGGTTAAAGTAATTTAAATCGACTCTACAACAACTATCCAAATCAGTCTTTAAACACTGACTATTAACAACCGAAGAGCTTTGAAATATGATACTATTAAAATATGAGACTCTTCCAAATCACGACTTTTAAAATTTCAGCCTTTAACCAGTGATAATGCTCTGGCTAACATTAACTGTATATAACATTTCTATCACTCTGATGGAGGAAATGATCACACAGATGTAAAATAAAATAAACATAAATAAAACTGGTGCATCTATAATGCTACATTTCAAACAAGTAACAATCAAAACTACTGATTTATAGTCCAAAATTTGACTTCTACCATGAACCGATCACTAAATTAGACAGTAATTATTACAGATAAAATTGAATAGATACACGCTACACATACTGTAAGTTTTATTTTCTCATGGATTCAGATTTTGTTTAGTAAAGTATGACAGGTTTTGTGTACTACATGTGATCTATCGATTTTTAAGTGTGACATCAATACAAACGTTTGAAAGAGATGAATGCAGTGTACACATACTGATGATAGGAGTTTGAGGAAATGTTTGAACTGAAGGGTGATGAACAAATCAATCAGATTATTTAGTGCATAATGCACGAATCACACATCTATATAATCATAAAGTTTTCAGATGGTTGAATCAAGTGAGTAAACATACTGTTACCACAAGACTCTCATTGTCAACTTGATTGAGACATACTTTAACACTTGCTTGACAGACGTGGATCCATGTGAAGTGTTCTGATGGATGAAATTCTCATGAACGTGACCACAGTCAAACAATTAATCCTATAAACGTAAAATAAGAAACAATCAGTGGCTTAATATACAAGAGCACCTCATCAACTCTGGTCAAGTTGTGACAGAGAAATCGTCTGTCAAAATAATTTACACAGTGAGAAGAATGGGATCAAATGGAGGTCGAATGCAAAGACTTATACACTACTGAGGTGTTAACAATTCACCACTTTAAGTCTGGACTTTGATTGTGGGAATATTAGATAATCGGATACTTTGAATTATCTGGTGTTAGCTGGATAGACTTGATCAACAGGAGGTCCTGTACGTGTCTTAGCTACAAAGAAAGTTTCATATCATCTACTTTTCCTGTTAAATAATAAATTCATTAAAAGGACTTTCCTCTTAACAATCAATGTCAATCTCATGTATATAGCATATAACAGATACCAAACTAGAATTTTCACCGAGATAAACTCCTCTTGTAACCTTTTATTTTCAAAGTTACGTAATCTTATTAAGATGAGTTAGTTAATGTGATGAAAACAAATTTGTCAGTTAGTTTCTTCGTGTGTTTAATTAAAGAAAAAAGTAATACGTAGAATTCATGAAATGTATTTAATTCGAGTAAATAAATTAAATCAATAAATCATCAGATCAGGTCAAAAAAAAACAAGCTTAGCCAAACGGTGAATGATTAAGTTAATTATATTTTTGCAATGTACATTAATAACGATTATTGTGAATGAAAAAATATCTGAATTAGACAGAAGTAAAAAATAAATGAAAGCTATAAATATTTATTTTTGGATGAAAATGTTACTCAACAAAGATTTAACCAAGAATATAAGAATCTATCGAGTTTTAAGATGAAAAACAATTTAGATGTGTAGCAGTTATGAAATGATGCATATTGGGGTACGGTGCAAATTGAACTTTATATATAAATCTGGTATTACTTCATGCATAGTTAGTGAAGCCTCTCGATCCATCTACTCCAGATAAGCGAAAGAGGTTCATAATGACCAGTAATTCTTGGTTCTTAAATAAAACAGGAATATTCTAATATTTAAACATTTCAAGGCTCTAAAAAGTTTCCAGAGTAGACCACATATTGTGTTTCTCAAATGTGATAAAGGTTCTGGTGTAGCTGTTATCAATAAATGTGACTCTAAAGAAGGAACGTTATGCATTCTTTGTGTTGAGAGCAAGTTTTTGGCGGGCTCCCCGTCAAATGATGTTCGAAACCAGAGAAAGTCCAAATTTGATCAAATACCTTGATATAAGTGTTATAAACAAGCCAAATTCAATATACTAAAGCGTATTGGCTCTGAACTTCTGAATTTCCATGGACCTAATAACCGAATACGACCAACTGTATCTAATGTTGAGTTCACCTACGCATGAACTAGCAGGTGGTTAGCTAAATTGCCAAACCCAATACGTAGCAAATTATGTAATTTTTTTCCTTAAAGGATACATTCGAACTAATTGATCTTCTTAATGACATTAATATTAAGGAAGGGACTATGTGTTCTTTGATGTAAGCTCTCTTTTTACTTATGTACTTTTAATCAAGACTGTTGGCATTCGACTAATTTCCATCTTTTTTCCTATTCGACCAACATAGTTGAAAGAGCTACTTTTATTTTGTACTAAATAAGTTCATTTCACGTTTGAAAGTAAACATTTTCGACAAGATGATTGTGTTGTTATGGATTGTCCTTTGAGATCCCTCTCAGATGATTGATATATCTCATATATTGAAAACATGATGAGTGAGTTAATCATTGAGATAACTCTGTATTGTAGATACATAGACAGTACACTAGTAATATGCGATAAATTTCCAGTGCTGCTCAGTTATTAGACAGAGTCAATGGCACGCTGAACGATATCGCACTTATTTATAACTTTCACCGAACTGAGTAGTAAAGTTATCAGTTATTTTCTGTTTCTATTTTATCCACAAAATATTCATTACAGTAAACCACTGTTAATTTTTGTTGTGTGGGCGAGAACGATCATGATTGGTTGTCTGCTTAGTCAGACATGTAGACGGTCTGACAGGTGTCAGATAAGTTATATATTCCCTTACCCTTATTATTGTGACTCACACTCTTATATACATCTCACTATTGATTGTTCATTGTTGTGGATTGTGTTGGTTTTTGGTTGTGAAATATATTACGTTCTGGTCAGGCTGATTACGTGTTCTTGATCTGAGTTGTGTTGAAGTCCTGTAGAATAGACACTGGGAGGGATCTAGTGTAGATAATCGTTTAAGCGTTACAACATCAGACAGAGTAATACTGAGCGTTATAACAATCGACGACTAAACATTATAACAATTTCCTTTGCATAATGCGTCACAAAATATATGTTCAAATAGTATGCGTAAACTATTAATTACGTTATACGTGTTCATCACATGATTTCATTGTTAAACGTTTAATTATTGATTGATTTAAATAATTATAAGTTACCAGAATCATAATGACAAAGGTGAAATACACCAAATTTAGTAAAATGATGTATTGAACGAGAACTCAGGTGGGGAAAATAGAATGTATTTGAATACAAATTTACAAATTATCTGAGGACCACACAGTAAATATTTCTTTATTATAATGTTAATCATTCGTCTCAGACTTCATTTTTCCTTCATTTCCATACCGATTGATTCTTGTTCCCGTTCTGTCTTCCTCGATCTTCTCAAGCATCTGATGCCAGACATTCTATTCCTGACTAGCGTTACATACTACTGATGTCGACATAAGTGGCCCACACTGCACTAATCCCACCTCTAAAGCAGTCGTACTTTCGGTGGTTCTACCAGCCGTGCCACTTTTTTCTTTTCTGCAGTCTGTGCCACACACTCCGTAAAAATGTCGAGTCTGCGATGCGTTCACCTCCATGGCTCTGTTTACCCGACGTAGCATACACAGAATTCACATATGGCTACTAGAACTGATTGAAATCTAGTCGGGAATATAGTCAACGAGATAGCTCAAACCCCTTCAAAGTTAACTTTCTATCTTTTTATTCAAATTACAGAATGTTTTAGGTGCCCTACAAATCTACTTGGATAATAAGTCATCCACATCAATGAAGTGCCTGATTAAGTTTATAGAAATAAGTTCCTACAATTTGTTTCTAAAACCATCCCAGTTAAAATAGCCATCAAGAAGCGGTTTTACCTATTACATAATCCCACTTAGTCATCCACTGACTGCTACACACTCAGTTAGTTTTACTCTAATCATGTCACTTACTTATGCAATCAACTATTTTTGTTGTCTGTCGTCTCATTATAATGTACTAGAATTTTCAATCGTAACCACCCCACTTGGTATCGGTGCGGTGTCCCTGCCGTGTCAAGGTTGGATAAGCCTTATCCGGTGGAACCGATTGGTTTTTCCAGAAATGATTTCTGTTTCTCAAGGCTCACAAACCCTTAGCGTGGATGTGATTTTGTGGTAAATCGTTGCACCAGATATTGGCGCGCGGGCGTCACACCACGGGCAATTATAATATACATACATACCGTTAATGC